CCCCAAAACCCCAAAACCCCAAAACCCCGACATTTTTCTAAGTAATTGAGACCTAAAATGATAAAATAATAATGACTTACAAATTTCTCTAAAGACACTGTATATTAGCATTCATCCAGCAAATGCATCATCTTCAGTGTATCTTTGAACTAAGTAATCTCAAGTACCGAGGGAGGACATCAATGAGGGTTTGAATATTTCATCAGCATCCTTTGTTATTCTTTGCATATCCTTATCTCTAAGATAATTGTCAAGCATACTATAAATACTTGCTACATCTCCTTGGAAAGGGAGTACCTTATGACTAAACGGGTCAGCTTTAAACATCTCATGGTCAACGCTTTTACTGATAGGAATAATTGCTTTGTTCGGCATGACTGGTATACCATCCTCTGTAATAAAACTGGCCGATTTGGTATCATTTTTAGTAACGATTTTCTGAAAATATCTTAGTTGCATATCTTTCTATAAAGTTTGAGGTAAATAACTTACAATTTTTTTCAACTTCTTCGTCAAAATATTGAGTTCATCGATCTTTGATGATTGACCAATTGCCCTGCTCATCTTTGATGAAAAGACCTCGAGAGTAGAGTGCTCCTCTGATAGCTCTCTCAGGATCGCTTGTGTAAGGAATCCCATTAACTTTCTTGAGCTTAATAAAGTCTCCAGATGCAGTCATTCAAAATTTGATTGATTTCTCAGTCATTGAACCTCATTTCTTCAGTAAGCAGATGAGGTACCCTGGAAGTGTATTGCTGATGATCTTCTCTGCAGTTTCTGACTGCAGATATTGCATAGACAAACTCTTTGTTCATTTGTTCTCAAATTTAGTTAAATTCCCCTGATGCTGACTATGAATTGATGTACTCTTAGGAATAATAGAATATGCGATTGGAGAACTAAATTCCGGTCCATCAAAAGTCTGTCTGTTTAGCTTTTTGACTCGAGTAGGAGCTAATCCCGACTCTTCATCATACTTCCAAGGTCTCGGCTTTCTTTGCTTATCATCAGAATTACTAAAACGGTCGAATGGGTTTTCAATCTTTTCAGTTCCGTCTGATTTATTTGTGTGTCCAAGATAATCTCTGATTTTTGGGAGGTACTTCTTATCCGTCATTTTGAGGCAAAAATGTTTAAAAACAGTTAAGTATTTGCCAACTTTTTGAACTCCCAAAGGGGTTTTGGGGTTTTGGGGTTTTGGGG